GCTATTTATGTAGACCAGGTTTCATCACACATACCTCCTTCCTGATACAATTCCCCATATGTAAGCATTCACCTCCACCTTCCCTTGCTCCATTGTTTCTCTGTGGTAGTGCTCACCATGTACTAGGTGCTATCCTAGATTCTGGGGGCTAGAAGGAAAAACAGAATCCCTTCTGAAATACAGAGCCCAGTAAAATAGAATTAACGTATTAAATGCAATAGCCTGGGGCAGTCTTGGGCAGCTTGACTGATAACTCTAGTGAAATGTTGAGTTTTTGAATGACACAGGGTACATGATGTTAAATCAAATTTTTCTTTTTTTTTTTTTGAAATGGAGTCTCATCTGTCACCCAGGCTGGAGTGCAGTGGTGCGATCTCAGCTTACTGCAACCTCCTGTCTCCTAGGTTCAAGTGATTCTTCCTTTTCAGCCTACTGAGTAGCTTGGATTGCAGGCGTGCACCACCACACCCGGCTATTTTTTTTGTTTGTATTGTTAGTAGAGACAGCGTTTCCCCATGTTGGCCAGGCTGGTCTTGAACTCCTGACCTCAGGTGATCCATGTGCCTCAGCCTCCCAAAGTGATGGGATTACAGGCGTGAGCCACCGCTCACAGGCTGTCTCAGATTTCAAAGACTCTTCACTGAAAGACACAAATGCAGCTCTGGATGTCCTAAGCTTCGACAGAGGGCGTGGGAGTAAGTATGTGAGGACACAGGTGTATCTGGCCGAGGCCAAGATAGGAAGAACCAGACCCAGGGTACAGCCAGGGCAATCTGTACATGTGGCCTTTGTTCTCTCTGCCGACCACCCCTCTCATTTCTCATTCCACATCTACTTGTCCATTCATGTTTACCGAGTACTGGTTATGGGTCAGGCACTGTGCTAAATGCTGCATAATTATCACTCCCGTGAAACGAACACGCGAAAAAGGGGAGTAGGCTCTACAATGTTTAAGCCAGTTATGGAGCAGGTTAGCAGGGAGGTATCATGGAAGGAGAAAGAAGCTGTTGGGAAATGCAGATGAGTTGAAGTTTTAAATCAAGGTGATCGAGAGGCCTCTCTGAAGTGACATTTTAAGTAAAGACAGAAGGAGGTGAGAGAGTAGACTGGAAGATTGTGGGGGAGGGTTCCCGGCAGATGAAGCAGCTGGGAGCAAAGGAAGAAATACCAGTGAGGAAAGAGAAGATGCTGATGTCAGGAGGTGGATGTGTGGGGGCTGCAAGCACTGCCTGAGAAAAGGTTACTTGCCACCAGAGGGTTTCGGGAGAGAAATGGCACAATAAGACCCCCATAACACAAGCGCTGTAGTCACTGTGTTGAGACAGACTAAGACACAGAAAAAACCTCTTCACTACAGAAGCTCTAAATGCAGTTAGGACAGCTCTGCCATTTGCTGTGTGACCTTGTACTCTGTGCCTCAGTTTCTTCCATGTGTAAAAGCAGGAGATATTCATAGTCCTCACTGCACAGAGCTGGAAGTGAAGTGTAAGTTAACATATGTAAAGCACACTTGCTTAGTGGCAGATAATAAGCACTGCATATGCTTTTGCTAATATTTTTATGGCTCCAATAAATATGATCTAGAAGTAGGTGGCAGATGGGGTAGGTTAAGAAAATAAGGCGTTTTTTTTTTTTTTAATGATTTATTTCTTGGGAAAGAGGTATTGACCTTGCTCTTCAAACAAACCTGTAAAATACTCCCAAAGATGTAGAAATTGGTGTGTAGACACTTGATAGACATGAATTACCTGGGCGGACTGCAGCTTGGGATTTGTGTTTTACATTTTTGTTCAGGGTCCTGTTAATTTGTAAAGTTCAACACATTCAGGCTCCAAAAATGATAAACTAATGCTTAAATTGAAGCTCAATTCCCTTTCTTCATGAGCTCTCTTCTGTTGTCAAGATGATCTCTACTGCTCTTGCTGTGTGAGTACACACTTGTTTGTGTACCTGTGTTTGTCTACCAGACACAATTCTTCCTCAAAGCCTCATTGTGGGAAAAACAAAACAAAACACCCAAACCTACTGATAGGCCTCAGTGACCAAATACTAAAAACTTAACATTCCCTGACATGGTCTTGATCACACCCTTTTGACACATTTGTGTTTCAGGATTCTGATACCTCGAGTAGGCCCCCAGTGAAAAGCTAAGCTATCTCTTAACAGCGTTAATGCGTAGCAACATTCCCAAACACAAATCATTAGTTGATTTACTCTAGTGCGAATTGAAATGAGCAGAAACCAATTTCTTTAATTTGTGAATCGTTTTTGATGGACTTTTCCTACACAGAAGAGCTGTAATGTTCTGGTTGAGAGCGACACTACAAGAAGCAGCATATGGTAGGAGTTAAGGATGTAGGCTTTAACATTAGACCTTCCTTTAAATAATAGCTCTACCAGTGACCAGGACTGTAGGTAATTTAATTCTCTGAGGTTCAGCCTCTTCAAATATAAGGTGAGGAAGGGCTCAGAGATCATAAGTGGATGATCCTAATTAAAATTAGGCTTGCACCTGCATAGGAAAGAATGCGTCCTAAAGCCATTCCCTGCAGGGATTAGAACCTCAAGTCTCCTTATTAATTGTTCAAGGAAAGTCTTCAATTAAATTGAAGGTCTGGCATACTACAACTCCTGCAAGTTCTTAGTCATTATCAGCTTTGGCTGGTTAGAATCCGCTATGATAAACACGGGCTTCAGCTTAGCTCTCTACCCAAGGTAGAGTGCTGCTGCAAGTGGAAAGTCTGTCTTTAAGAATATGCCCTGCAATTTGCTTTATTCACTGATGATTATATTGATCGGATTTGTCTATGTTGATACTTGTAGGGGATGAAGGAGAGGGAGAAGTCCATGATGACAGCAAATTTTAGTGTAGAGCAACTGAGAGAGTGGTGGTGCAGGAAACACAGGGAACAGCAGCGACTTGGAAGTGGGACTGGAGATAACATCATGCCGTGGACATTCGGAATCCACAGAGCTGCGTGGAAATCAGATTTAACTTGCTCTCTCCCCCTTTAAGATGCTTCTCAAGTAGCCTCCTCCCTCGCTCGCTTGGATATTTGGCATTGGAGTCATTATTCTGCAGCCGCCATATTTTCTTGCAGGTAGAAGGCAGGCCCTTCCTGGTGTAAACAAACAAGATTGGGCTACAGTGACAATCCTCCCTGATGGCCTGCATCTGGTTTATACCACTCTATTAATATTGGGGTCCTTCAAAATCCAGCCTCAGATGCCCTCCTCCCGTAGCGGTGGCCTCCACCTCGGCCTGGCCAACACGTGAGTCCAGCTTGTACAGGGCCAATTCAGCTCCGGGTTTCCGGCTTTTGGCCACTCAGGATTGGACCTCGGACTGGAGCTGGTCAGCCTGCGGAGTGCAGGGCCTGGGGACCTGAGGAAGCACAGAGATTCCCCGCCCCGTTCCCCGCCTTCGGCACTCGCGGCGAAGGCACCGTCCACTCCCGCCCCGGGATGCCGGGCGCGTGCGGCGGCTATTCGGCAGCTCAAGCCCCGCCCCACCGTCTCCGTTTCCGCTCACTCCTCTCCCAGGCCACTGCGCAGGCGACACGACGCCCCGCCTTTCTCCCCGCCCTGCGCACTCCAGGGACGCAGCGCGCCGCGCAACCGCGTTTCCAGCGCGAACCTGGCTGCTGTGCTCCGCGGCTTGTGCGCGCTTTTGGACCCGCGCGAGCCTTCGGGAGATCGGTGCGGATCCTTGGGGAGTATGGTTATTATTTTCTACGACTTTTAGGGATTATTTAGGAGTTTCACGGCCGTCTGCTTTTCGTCTTGCCGATTCAGCCGGGCCTTTGGGCCAGTGTGGTCGGTGCTTTTCTCGTTCGGTATTTTCTGCTTGTCTTGAAAGGAGCTGTGGATGTACGGAGTCCCTGAGCTCCCTGAAAGGCTTACCCATGTAGCATAGTGTTGCCTGGTTTCCTGTGGTGGTTTTTGTTGCTCCACATCTCTTTAAAAGCCTCCCTTACTCAGGGCCGCCTCGGATTAAGTGTGGGCAAGATCCCAAGCCTTCTGCCCTTCCCTGTTTTATGGGAGCTTAATTCTTTCTTTCTTTTTTTTTTTTGAGGGAGTGTCTCGCTGTGTCGCCCAGCCTGGAGTGCAGTAGCCTGAATATGTGTCATTGCAGCCTCTGCCTCCTGGGCTCAAGCCATCCTCCCACCTCAGCCTCCCAAGTAGCTGGGATTACAGGTGCGCGCACCATGCCCGATTTGTTTATTTTTTATTTTTTATTTTTTAATAGAATATAGGTTTCACCATGTTGGCCCAGCTGTTCTCGAACTCGTAACCTCAGGTGATCCGCCTGCTTGGGCCCCCCAGAGTACTGGGATTACAGGCGTGAGCCACCTTGCCTGGCCTAATTCTTTAAACAGAATAAACGGGGTATGCATTGCTTTCCATCTTGTTAGGCTCACTGCATACAGGATGCTACTGTAAGAGAAAATGCAGGCTGTTTTTCAAGGTTGCAATGTCACGTGTGATCTTGACCTGAGTTTTCGTATATTTTACCCCCTCTTCTTCCCTCCGAAAAAGAACTTGGTAGGTTGAATTAAGTTTCTAAAAACCTTGAGTATTGAAATTGGTTGTTGCAGCAGGGATGAAAACTAACACCCCTCGTCCCCAGAAGAGACATGAAAGTAGTTGGATTAAAGGAGCACGGGAGTATTGCTTTCCGATTAGTGATAACATGAGTACTTGATGAAATGGCTAACACATTCCCTGATTATAGAGTTGGTCAGTGGATCTTGCTGAGTTTCCTGTGGGCCTATGTGAAATGATCGGCATCTGTTCAGCGTTACTGTGTGCTAAGCACGTTGCGTGTCATACGTTGGAGGATGCTCACAACAGCCCCAGGAAATTAGTACCAGTGTTATCCTCATGAGTACGTGAAGGATACTGAGACTGGTTGTGTAGCTTGCCGGGTTGGACACACTTCTTCGGACTGCTGGAGAGCTGTGCTTTTAACCACCTCTGATCCAGCTTGTTTTCCCCAGATGCAGGCCTGGGGTAGTCTCCTGTCTGGACTGAGAAGAGAATGGAGAAGAGCCCCTTCCCATTGTGAGTGGACAGGAAATGGGTATGGAGTAGCCAGGAGCTTCTGGAAACCAGAGTTCCTTTCCTCAGCTGAAAAGAACCCTAAGAGTAGACTGCCTGGGATTGGCGGGGATGGGAGGATCACTGGACCTGTGGGCCAGAGACTTGATTTGAGTCAGCTCTGACTTTGCTGAGACATCTCAGAAAGTCATCCAACCTCTGTGGGCCTTATTTTCAGTGATAGAACCTGTGGGTAATGATGACCTTTTAGTCCCATCCTATGACAATATGGTTTGTTTTTAAAGCCAGTTGTACTGACTTCTCTCTTGTGTTTTCAGAGTGCCTTTGCATTGGTTTGGCTTTGGCTACACAGCATTAGTTGTTTCGGTGGGATCGTTGGCTATGTAAAAACAGGTATGGTTTTGTTGTTATTTAGCCTCTTAACATCTTCCGCGTTGTTCCAGTGAAATGTAGTGCCGGAGTACCCCTGAGAAGCAAGCTGCGTTAGAGTCAGGTTTGCTGTAGGACCCCAGGCTGGAGTGCAGGCTTTTCCTTGTCAGTGTTGCAGCTTCTGCGCACCTTCTGGTTATCTGGTGAAACTGAGCCAGGCCTCATTGGAATTACTTGTTTTTGCCTCTTTATCTAAAGATAGGCAGGGGTAGTTGTAGTTGTTATTATCATTGACTGCCGTTAAATCAGCCCGACCTCCAAGTGCTGTCTCTAGGCTCAGGTAGGAAACCTCTGGTCTACACAGGCTGGGTATTTTGGAAGTCTCTTCATTAGGCCAGGCAGGGGGGTGTATTAGTGGCTGTGCCTGTTTCTGCCACCTAGTCCTTGCCTGCATTCCCACCCCAACCCCCACACCAGAATTCTTATTGTCCTGGTCTTCTATTTTTTTTAACCACCTGGCTGTCTTCCCTCTCCTTTTGATTTGCGGAAAATTCGTGCCTGTACACAGTTCCAGCCCTTCATGGACTGATCCGGCCTGTTTAGAAAGAGGCCTAGCCGTAGTTCCATCTAAGGAGGAAGATGGCCTTGCTTTCCTTTCCTTAGATGGAAGTGCCCTGCCTATTAGAGGAGAGAAAAATGGGTTGAGAAGACCACAGCCTCTGAGAAGATAGCACACTCCCAGGAAACATCTTCCTGCTTGAGTCCACCTTGGCCTGAGCTGTGTTGAGAGTTCTCTGTGCTGTCCTCCTTTGTAGGACAGGGGGTCTGGTGGATTCTGTTAGTGAAATAAGTGCCTGACATTACAATGCAAGCTGTGTTTGCTTCCCTCTAGGCAGTGCGTCCTGGCTGCAGGGCTGCTCTTCGGAAGCCTGGCTGGCCTGGGTTCTTACCAGATGTCTCAGGATCCAAGAAACGTTTGGGTTTCCTGGGTATGTGTCCTTCAAGCGTCTCCTTGAGGCAGTCGTGTGTGGGCAATGCCTCTTTTCCAAGCGCTGACCCTGGTTTGGTGGGGATGGGCGAGTTCTTCACACTTAATTTACTACAGTTCACTGCTTCTCCAAGTCAAGTCCTCAGAATGTTTGAAAATAGGAGAAGGGTGGCGGGAATTGTCCTGGTTCCTGTTTATCATTTAGGTAGAGAATATGGAAAGATTTCCATACCTCATGAATTGTGTGACTCTCAGAAAATCATCCATCCTCTGTGGGCCTTATTTTCAGTGTTTACCTAGTAGAATTAGCATCAAACTTGTATTACCCATATTTACCCAGTAAAATTAGCAGTAAACTTGTGTAAGACAAATAATGTGTCAACCGTTGAGGTTTTCCGCTGAAAACCATTGGCCTCAGCATACTAAAATATCACACATCTAGGTTAGGTTTGCATCCCGTTGCATTTTCCCGTTTGAAAATCACCTCTTTAGCAGTCAGCTACATAAATATGTAAGACATAGGCCATGCCTTCCGGGAGCTTTCAACCCCCGGCTTGCTGGGAAGCCAGACATGAGCATAGAAGCAGGACTGGAAATGTACCCTCTGAGCAGCATGGACAGTGAGTGGGGTGGGGAGTTGAGGAGTCCTTCTTATCCAGGGTGGCTTTCAGCACAGTTCTGTGAGGCTCCACCTATGTGTCAGGCAGCTGCTAAGTGTGGGTTCCTCACTGTCTCCACAAACCCCGTGTGAGAATGAGTGCCATGTGGGAGAGGCCGTGTGATCTGTACACATCAGCCGGGGTTGGGAAGGGAGGTCAGTGATGGCTAATGGGGTGTGCTGGGGAAGGAGGTGCGTCCAGGTCCCAGCTCTGCCTAACAGCTCCCTGCCTCATGCTGCAGAGTGACTTTGAGCCTGCTTTTTCCCTTTCTCTGATCCTGCTCCACTCAGCAAATGACCTCATGCCTATTGTGAAAAAAACAGCCATCCGTGGGGACTCCCTGCCTGGAACCTTTAATCTCAAGCCTTACCTTGTCCTGTTTTCCCTCCTCTCCAACACCAGTGTCCTCCTCTGTGCTTTGAGTGTCTTCTCCCTGACCTTCTCCTGGCAAGGATCCTGTCTTGTATTTGTATTCCTCCTTTTAGGTGGATCCCCATTGTCAGATGTGCTTGTCTCTTTCCTCTTCATAAACTTCTTTTTTTTTTTTTTGAGACAGTCTCACTGTGTTGCCCAGGCTGGAGTGCAGTAGCGTGGTCTTGGCTCACCGCAACCTCTGCCTCTTGGGTTCGGCGCTTCTCCGCCTCAGCCTTCTAGATAGCTGGGATTACAGGCACCTCCACCACGTCAAGGCTGATTTTGTATTTTTAGCAGGTACGGGGTTTCGCCATGTTGTCCGGGCTGGTCTGGAACTCCTGACCTCAGGTGATCTGCCCGCCTCGGCCTCCCAAAGTGCTGGGATTACAGCCGTGAGGCACCATGCCCAGCCAGAGGGCAAGAGGAGGGAATGGGAGGCCGAAACCTACAGCACCTGGTATTTCCCCAGAGGGTGGGGTGGTATTCTCCATCCATGCAGGACCGACTTTGCTTAGCTTTTGGGGAGCAGACAAGATGGAGCATGTTCAGGCGGTATGGCGGTAGACCAAAGGCTTCTTAAAGATCATTTTATGCAGCTGGGCGCGGTGGCTCACGCCTATAATCCCAGCAGTTAGGGAGACCGAGGCAGGCGGATCACCTGAGGTCGGGAGTTTGAGACCAGTCTGACCAACATGGAGAAACCCCGTCTCTACTAAAAATACAAAATGAGCCGAGCGTGGTGGCTGGCACCTGTTATCCCAGCTACTCGGGAGACTGAGACAGGACAATCGCTTGAACCTGGAGTGGCGGTTGCAGTGAGCTGAGATGAAGCCTGTACTCCAGCCTGGGCAACGGGAAGCGAAACTCCCGTTTCAAAAAAGAAAAAGATCATTTATGCTTCCTCTCCCATCACACATGATCAGCCCATCTCAGTCTCCGTTTCTGTCCCTGTGGAACAACTCTCCTAAAGGCTACGTGACCTGTGTTTGTACAAATCAATCTACATTTTCAGTCCCTCATTTACTTGTGTTCTTGATTCTCAGCATGGTTGACCCAAATTATTTCCATTCCTGGTTTCCCTTTTTTATCCTCCCATTCTCTTTTGGCAACTCATTTTCCTTTTTGGCCACTAGACTTTGGGATTCTTCAGGCTCTTTTGTCTACTCTCACTTGACAGTTTATAAGTACCATCAGAAGCCTATGCCTTTAATTTCCACCAATACAAATGACACAAATTTCTCTCTCCTCCAGCCTGGATTCTCATGTATTCATTTGCCCACTTTCCTTCATATGTCTCCAGGAATCTGCCCAGACTAACACCTCATGGCCACACACTCCTCCTGTCTTCTATATTCTCCATCCATTCGGGTCTTGATTGCTCTCTTTCCCCTCCACCGCCCCCTTTCTGACTAATCCATCAGCAGGTCTTGTCGACACTATTTCCAGCCCTTATCCTGAGTTGTCCTCTTTTTCATCTGCACAACCATCATCCTAGTCCCAGTTATTCCCTCTTTCTTACCTGCATTCCCAAGGACGTTTCCTTAGCTGAAATGGTATCCCCATGTACCCTCTAGTTTCCCTGAAGTTTGTTTTGTATGGGTACAGCTAAATTAATAGCACAAAATGCAACTCTGGGCGGGTACAGTGGCTGGCCTGTAGTCCTAGCACTTTGGGAGGCTAAGGCAGAGCGGACTGCCTGAACTCAGGAGTTTCAGACCACCTAGGCAACAGCATGAAACCCCGTCTCTACTAAAATTTAAAAATTAGCTGGGCATGGTGCCCAGGTGCCTGTAGTCTCAGCTACTTGGGAGGCTGAGACTTGAGGATTCTTGAACCGGGAGGTAGAGGTTGTAGTGAGCTGAGATCATGCCACTGCACTCTAGCCTGTGTTGCAGAGTGAGACTGTCTCAAAAAATAATAATAATGCAACTCTGTTCATGCATCCTTCTGCTTAGTAGCTTTTAATAGCTTCTCATTGCTCTTATGATGAAAACCCAATCCCTAGTATGGCCTTCAAGGCTCCATGTGGCCTGGCCCCTCTTACTTGCAAACTGCATCTTTGACTTCTGTACCACACTGCCCATTGAGGTGAATGTGCCATGCTCCTGTCCAACCACCAGGCCTCTGCATATACTGTCCCCTCTCTGCTGGAAAGGGCCTTCCATCCTTCAATACTAACTCCTGTAATTTCAGATCTCAGCCAGTCTTCACTTCCTTGGCTAAAGCCTTTGTGATCTCCTGAATAGGTTGATCCCCTGTTGAGCTTTTTGTGTAGCATCAATTATACCTGAAGCACAAATTGTACCTTGTTTTTCTTTGTGTGATTGTTTAAGGTCTGTCCCATCAGACCTGAAGCACTGTAAAAGGGCAAAGACAGTTACAATTACCTTTTTATTCTCCAGCACCTAGCACAGCGCTTGACATGTAGTAGGTGCTTTGACAATTCTCCAGTGGGAATTGCATGGGAGTAGAAGAAATAGTGTTTGCAGGGTGTGAGAAACAGCAGCATTTTAGAGAAAACTAACACATTGATGGCTAAAGGGGGTTTTGCAGAGATGAGTGATAAGAGATGAGGCTGGAAGGGCAGGCGGAGGCCCAGACTGTGAAGGGCCTATTTGGCTTAATATTGGTACTTGGACCCATAGGATGTGGGCAGCCAGTAATCTCCCCCCACTTGGAGAAGGAAGAATAAGCATAGGATGAGGTGTGACCCTTGAGAGGTGGGTGGGGCTTGGTCCACTTCTGATTCCCCTGTGTAGAAGATGCATAATGAGTTTGACCCTTCTTTGTATCTTTTCAGCTGCTACATCTGTTACTTTTGTTGGTGTTATGGGATTGAGATCCTACTACTATGAAGAATCATGCCTGTAGGTTTAATTGCAGGTGCCAGGTACTTTCATTTGTTACTCTTCTTTACCATGTAGAGTTCAGTTTATTCCCCAGGATACTTTATGCATTCAAAACCTTACTTGTTTCAGGATATCCGATGCTATGCATCAACTGACATTTGATATATACACTAATAGGAGATGCTTCAAAAACAATGGTTGATTTAATGCAATGACATAGGTATATCCATTCACTGTGGAGATGGCTTTCTCTGGTCCTAGCTCCTCCCTATATGGTGGCAGAAGTTTGTTTACAAAGCTACTTGACTGCAACCTTTTGTGTGACTTGCGGGAATGTGTAGGGGTCCATATTTCTTAGATGTGTAGGTGTCTTTTATAGAAAATTTTGCTAAAAGGGAATTTTGATTGAATCCTGTTTTCTAATTTTGATTATAATATGTAAACCAAATTGTGGTTTTAAAAAAATTTACTTGTGGACCAGGCACAGTGGCTCCCACACCTGCTAATCCCAGCACAGTGAGAGGCCATGGTAGGCGATATCACTTGAGGTCAGGAGTTCGAGACTAGCCTGTCAACATGGTGAAACTCCTCTCTATGAAAAGTACAAAAATTAGCTGGGCGCGGTGGTGCATGCTTGTAATCCCAGCTACTCGGGAGGCCGAGGCAGGGGCTGCAGCTAGACTGGTGAGGCGGAGTTGCAGTCAGTTATTAGTGCTGCTGCCTCCCAGCCTGGGCAACAGGGTGAGTGAGACTCCGTCTCAAAAAAAGAAAAAAATCGGTTATTAAGTACTGAAGTAAAGACATCACACATGAAGGCAGGGAATTTTAACAAGCCTGTTTTGGAGAAAGGTGCATACTCTACTCTCATCGTTGAGATGCTGCTGGTGTAATATTTTTTTTTGAGACGGAGTCTAGCTCTGTCGCCCAGGCTAGAGTGCAGTGGCCGGATCTCAGCTCACTACAAGCTCCGCCTCCTGGGTTCACAGTTCTCCTGCCTCAGCCTCCCGAGTAGCTGGGACTACGAAGCGCCACCTCGCCCGGCTAGTTTCACCATGGTCGCCCAGAGGATGGTCTTGATCTCCTGACCTCGTGATCCGCCCGTCTTAGCCTCCCAAAGTGCTGGGATTACAGTGGCTCACAGCGCTGCTCCAACCAATATTTTATACCTGAAGCAAAAAGTCGTGTAGACAGGTCTGAGGCAGTAAACTGAGGCTAGAGTTGACCATTAATCAGATCCCTGAGGGTGGGAGCGGCCTTGCTCTCTCTTGCCTCCATTTTCTTCATCTTCAAATTATTGGCAGTTGGATTAGGATCAGCTCATGGCTATATTTAAGACCTCGAGTATGAGACTGTCCCTTGGCTTACTTTTCTCTGGTTCTCCAGGATGGAAATTTACCTCTGACCACTGTTGCCTTGTATCCTCCCCCCCACACCCAGTTGTGAGGAACCTGCAGAATTTAGTTCCTTAAAAACATAGTTGCCTGTTCTGTCCTTTACCTGACGTTTTCTATCTTGTTTCTTTTAAACAGTTTGCTGATGGCCGCCAAAGTTGGAGTTCGTGTAAGCGTGAAGCATCTGATTAGCAGAAGTCATGTTCTAGCTTGGACTCATGAAGGATTAAAAATCTGCATCTTCCACTATTTTCAATGTATTAAGAGAAATAAGTGCAGCATTTTTGCATTTGACATTTTACCTAAAAAAAAAAGACACCAAACTTGGCAGAGAAAGTGAAAATCAGTTATTTACCATTATAAACCCTACAGAGGTTATAATGAAGATGTAACATGAGCTTATTGAGACCCTCACAGAGATCGATTCTTGTATATTGATGTTCTCTTCTTTCTGTATCTATAGGTAAATCTCAAAGGGTAAAATGGCCCAGGTGTTGACATTGAGAACACGTGAAACCCATTCCGTGCTCAGAGGAACAGTGAAAAATAGAGTATCTGTTCTTTTGCCCATCTTAGACCACAGACTGACTTTGAAGTATGTTAGTGAAATATCATTGAAAATAAAGTTTACTATAAATAATATTTCCTATGGGTCTTCATTGCCAGAGCTGGTCTAGTTCATAGAATGACTTGTAATTGCTAGCCGCAAGATATAACACTTAACTTGAAAGTGTTTTGTTGATATTTAGAAATTACCTATTTTGAGAAATTTAAGGACCAAGGAAAGTTATTTTATTTTATTTTTTTTTCTTTTTTTGAGACGGAGTCTTGCTCTATGCTTTGGGCTGGAGTGCAGTGGCTGGATCTCAGCTCACTGCAAGCGCCGCCTCCCGGGTTTACGCCATTCTCCTGCCTCAGCCTCCCGAGTAGCTGGGACTACAGGCGCCCGCCACCTCGCCCGGCTAGTTTTGTGTATTTTTAGTAGAGACGGGGTTTCACCGTGTTAGCCAGGATGGTCTCGATCTCCTGACCTCGTGATCCGCCCGTCTCGGCCTCCCAAGTGCTGGGATTACAGGCTTGTGACCACCGTGCCAGCCCCAGGAAAATTATTTGATTGTACATTGCATTGAAGCTTGTTTCAAAATGATCTCTGAGGATTTTTTGTTTTTGAGACAGGGACTTTTCTGTCCTAGCCTGGAGTGCAGTGGTACAACTATATCTCACTGTAACCTCAAACTCTTGGGTTCAGTCCTCCCACCTCAGCCTCCTGAATAGCTGGTACTACTGGTGCATACCACCTACCTTCTTATTTTATTTTTGTAGAGATGCTGTCTTGCTCTTGCCCAGGCTGGTATCAAACTCCTGGCCTCAAGCGATCCTCTCTCCTTAGCCTCCCAAAGTCGTGGCTAATGAGCATGAGCCACTGTACCTGGCCACTGAGGATTTCTAAGATTAGGACTGTGTAGCAAAAAAAGAAAAAATGTGTTTTTGTTTGTTGTGTAATTAGTTCATATATAATTGGCCAAACTGGAAGGCCCATCTAGAGCTTGAATCACCTAATTTGGTCTCTACATTGGACACATTTACTGGATACTAGTACGTTTTAGTTTTACTTTATTCATGTTTCAACATGAAGAATTGATCTGGTGCCCCTTGCTTTAGTTTTCATTCCGTTTAAAAAGGTAAGGAGCTGGGCGTGGTGGCTCACACCTGTAATCCCAACACGCTGGGAGGCCGAGGTGGGTGGATTACAAGGTCAGGAGTTTGAGACCAGCCTGGCCAGCATGGTGAGGCTCCCTGTCTCCACTAAAAATTCAAACATTAGCTGGGTGTGGTGGCATGCGGCTGTAATCCCAGCTACTCAGGAGGCTGAGGCAGGAGAATTGCTTGAACCCAGGAGGCAGTGGCTGCAGTGAGCTGAGATCGCGCCGCTGCACTCCAGCCTGGGCAACAGAGCAAGACTCTGTCTCAAAAAAAAAAAAAAGGTATTTGCTACTGATTTCCCTAACTGATGCTGGTTGAGTTTAGAGTATAGTTCAGACACTTTTGTATTTGCATAAGCCCCTTGATGGTAGTCCTAGTTTTCCATCCTTTTTTATGAGACTCTGGACAATTGAGGGCACTTGTGTTGCAGTGGTAGAGGCATCAGAAGGCCATAGACCATCCAAACCTACCAGCCTCCCAGGCTTCCATAGCTAAGAGTTTGAATCACGGTGTTATTTGTTTTCATCTATCATGGAGTGTTTCCAAAGGAGCACACATTTTTGCCACCTTCCAGTCCTGAGAGGAACTTGAATCCTGGACCAATAAGGTTCCCTGGAAGGTAGGAATTAGTTAGGTGTAAGTAGATCCTGTGTGACTATTTGGTCCTAGCAACCCAGCCTGGAAAATTCTAAGGCTGCCCACAGATGAGAGGCAGGAGGTCTTCAGAGCCCTTGCCAAGTCCCTAAATCCCTGCTTCTCTGCAAAGGTCGGAGTATTTACTGCTAAAGATTCGCACTGGAGTCCTAGCAGTGCAAGGAGCAAATATAGTGCTTGCTCTTCTGGAGTCCAGTGGAGGAGGCGGACGTCTAAGGAGGCGGACGTCTAAACAAAGGCAGTACAGAAATAAGTGTATAATGGAGGTAGATCCCTATTACTGTGGGGGCACAAGGCGGGGAGTGGGCATTTCTGTTTAGGGAGTCAAGGGAGGCTTCACAAAGGAACCAATAGTTAAACTGAGCCTTGTCAGTTGATTCATGAGTCAGTTGACATGAACTCCTTTTGTGAGTTGTCTATGAGGATTTCATAGGTAAGGAAGGGCAAGTGTCTCGGATAGAGGGAACAATACGTACAGTGCCTCAAAGGCATGAAACTCCTATGTAGCATAGCTGGGTTCAACCCTTTCCTTTGGGATCTAATTTTTTTTTTTTTTTGAGATGGAGTATGGCTCTTGTTGCCCAAGCTGGAGTGCAATGATGCGATGTCAGCTCATTGCAACCTCCACCTACCGGGTTCAAGCGATTCTTCTGCCTCATCCTCCTGAGTAGCTGGGATTACAGGTGTGCACCACCATACCCGGCTTTTTTGTATTTTTAATAGAGATGGGGTTTCACCATGTTGGCCAGGCTGGTCTTGAACTCCTGACCTCAGGTGATCCACCCATCTTGCCTCCCAAAGTGCTGGAATTACAGGCGTGAGCCACCGCTCCGGGCCAAGATCTAATTCTTTATAATAGCTTTTAAGTTGTACGGATGTTTACTATTTAGTTTACCATTCCCCTACTGATAGAAATATGTCTTGTTTAATGTCTTTGATAGCTGGGAGCAGTGGCTCACGCCTGTAATCCCAACACTTTGGGAGGCCAAGCTGGGCAGATCCCCTGAGGCCTTTGATATTACAAAGGATGGTGTACCAAGAAATACCCTCATGGAAATCCCCATGAACATGTGCAAAGGAATCTGTAGGTTACATTCCTCAATGCTGAGTCAGAGCATCTCAGCATTTAAAACTGATTGCCCTCAGAAGAAAATGTACCAATTTACCCTCCCACTAGTGGTGGCTAACTTTGTGGAATTGAACTTTTTAAAAATCTTTGACACATTAAGCTGGAAGTCTGCAAACTTATTCTGTAAAGGGCCAGATAGTGAGTATTTTAGGCTTCGCAGGCCATCTGTGTCCCATCTGCTCACCTCTGCCTTTGTAGAATGAAAGCAGCCATAGCCAATCGGTAAATGAGTGTAACTGTTCCAATAAAACTGTATGTATGGGCCCTGAAATCTGGATTTCATATGATTTCTACATATCACAAAATAGTAGTCTTATATTGATTTTTTTCAACCATTTCTAAATGCAACTTGCTGTCTGCACGAAAACAGGCAATGGACTAGAATTGGCTCGCTGACCATAGTCATGCCTGTAAGAGTTAAAGAAAGAAGAAAAACATGAAACGCGGCTTTGCAGTCAAAGACAGGTTTTCTTTAGTTAAAACCTGAGAGGCCTCCCAGCCGATTTCAGTTAGGAGCACTTTTTCCTACAGACTAAGAGTGTATATTGGTTTTAGGGTGAGGGGACTTACCAGAAGCTTAGAATGTTTGTGTGTGTTCATGGCGGGGTTGGAATCTCTCTGGGAGGAGGGGTTATCTTGGGACAAACATCTTCCCAGCTGGAGGGGTCTTATCTTGGGGCCAGCATGTCTCTGGTCTGGGAGGAGTTTGAAATGTTACTGGTTGAAGATGTTGTGGTTTTATGGTAGTGCTGACCTTAGCCATTAGGCTGATGCCCTTTGAATTTAGGTGTTTTTTTATTAAGGTGAACTTTAGAATGAGGGCTTGTCCAAGATGGCGATGCTCCTGCTCTGTCCATGCCAACCCCTAATCTGTCCAAAAAATGTTATCTAATGGTTTCGGTGATTTAGTTATGAATTATTAAGCATCTTTCATACATTTATTGACCAGTTATATTTTTTTCTGTGAGCTGCCTTTCATCTCATTTGTTCACGTTTTTGGTTTTTTAATTGAAAACACTGGATAGTCTGAGACTCTCTAGTATAAAAATGTGTTCTTTATCGTATGTATTGAAAATATTTTCCTCTCATTTGTTGTCTCTTGATTTTGTTTATTTTGCTGTTGTACAGAAAGTAAACATTTATGAAATCAAGTTTATTATATTTTGTTTATGGCTTTCAGATTGAAACCACCATTGCAAAATTGTAACTGAGATAGTGAAAGAGATCTGGCCTAACCAACTCCATCTTACTTCTCACCTACAAGCTGTCTTAGTTCATTCTGGTGTGGGCTGAACTAACTGTGGGAGGAACTTAGTTTATAGTTTAAAACAAAGATGAAAGCCCGGCATGGTGGCTCACACCTGTAATCCCAGCACTTTAGGAGGCTGAGGTGGGTGGATCATGAGGTCAGAAGATCGAGACCATCCTGGCCAACACAGTGAAACCCTGTCTCTACTAAAAATACAAAAAATAATTAGCTGGCATGGTGATGGTGGGTGCCTGTAATCCCAGCTACACGGGAGGCAGAGGCAGCAGAATTGCTTGAACCTGGGAGGCAGAGAATGCAGTGAGCCGAGATCGCGCCACTGCACTCCAGCCTGGTGACAGAGCGAGACTCCGTGTCAAACAAAACAAAACAAAAAACCCAAAGATGAATAACAGTCCTTTCCCGAAACAAACCC